TTTTGTTTCTAACTGGATTAAAGGTTCTTTGGGTTCAGGATTGCACCTGTATATCTATTAATATATCTATGTATGTAGATTATGTATCTATGTATCTATGTATGTAGATTATGTATCTATGTATGTATCTATCAATATATCTATGTATTGTATAGACAACAATACCATTACAACAACATTCAATAAATAATTGCTAAATTAACAAATATATGACAGATTCACCTAAGTAGCATTGTAGTCTATTGATTTTTGGTCACGGAGAAATACAAAACAGTCTCTGTCCCATAAAGATTATAAAGAAATATGTAGCCCAAAATAATGTTTGGAAATTTGTGCTTTATTTTTATTTGATATGATGCTATTTAATTTAACACGTTTTCAAAATTATCACAAAAGGCATAAATTCCTCATTCAAATGGAACTTGCTAAAAAGTCTCCCTATGGTTAACATCTGGCTACAGTTGAATAAAGTCAATTTTTGTTTCAAAACTTAGCATCTTATAGAACAGAATTCATGTTCAAGGTCTCATATTTTGAATATTAAATTTAACAATCTGATCTTGGACATTTTCTTTTATTTTCCAGTGCCTTAATTGTAAAAAGCTACTCAATACCATTTTATTTCAGTGGTTCTTGCTAAGGACTAACTAACAAACAACTTAAAACATTTGTGTTATGCAAATACTAATTCACTAAAGTAGCCATGCTCAGTTTTCAGTTTGAAAAGCAGTAATTTTATAATAAATAAGTGCCACTTGCAGTCAGAAGGAACACTAGCTTGAGGGAAAAAGCAAGAGATGGAAGAATCGTAAGGTTCTAAAAGTCCTTGTCTGATGCTAAATGCTGGTTCTTTGGGTAGGGCCCAGGGACTGATCTGACTGCAGTCTAAAATGAGTTCAGTGCTGATACCAGCTTAGGGCCTGCACGTTTATATTTCCAGGCCAGGATTTCCTAACTTTTCTACTAAGAGGACGTCCACGCACTCAATAATGCTCATATGTTTGTTATGTATCAATTAAAAAACACATGCCACAAAGCTACCATGAATTCAGTATCAATTTGAAATGAATATATTTGACTAATCACAATACTTAATATATTTAAAAAAACAGTATTTTATAAATATATGTATATGTATATTTAGTCCATAAATAACATTTAGATGTATTAACCCTTTGGAAAGAAACTCCAATACCTCTTAAGTTGGAAATTGCTGATCCAGCTGATATTTTAAAGTCAATTCCTAGTTGGAAAATTTTATATGACTTTATTATTTTCTTCCTAAACTGTTCTATCTTCAAATAGGTTTTGTCCCTTTAAGAGGAATTATGATTGTACTTCATACTATGTATATATATTTACATGAACAATTAATGAAAATTGTTCGCAATTATTTAAAAAAAAAAAAGAATACCATTTTGCGGAGGCAGTGGCAAATCTTCCCTGATGTGTCATGATGGAGTCATTCTCGAAAACTAATGGCTAGAAAATTGAGTAAACATAGAACCAATAGGGAAAAGATTTCTTAACTTCAAATGAAATCAGTCCATAGACGAGCACATCGCTGTGGAAAATTTTGAGACAAGCGCAAGGATTTGCTCATGATGATGATATCTCGTTCCTGTAGGCAGCAGCTACACAGTGAAAAAAGTCCTCCCCACCTATCAATGCCATAGAGTTGACTGTGGTCAAAATTGTTGTCAGCACGACCCCATTCTCCCCAACTCATTGCTGCCCCATCTTTCTTTTTAGCATAAAGCACAACACCATATTTAACCAAACAAGACATTAGTCAGGACTGATAATTCTTCGTTCTGTCACTCCTTGCTAGTACCTGACAGTCTCATGGTGCAAAATGAAGAGATGCTCCCAGTTGACACCCTATTCATTCGAATTCTGCTTTCATTCCTCAAGGCACTTGAGCCATTTTTTTTTTCCAGATCTAAATTGTAGGACAAAAGCCATTACGTAACTAGCAGTCCCTTTTCCTAATTCTAATTTACCAAACTTGTAATCTCTACCAATGCTCCATAAAACTATAACCAATTGCTAATATCATCTTCCTTGGTTCCATTTGTCCTTTTACAAAAGAGCAATTAAGTGAGAAGTCGCTTGCTGCCTGCTTTCCTGATAGGTTCAGAAGCTAGACTTAGGAACCCAGCCTACCTCTATCCTACTGTTCACTGATTCACTTAACTCCTAAGTATTTGACCACTTACCAAGTACTACCATCCTAAGCACCAGTGTTTACATACAATAATCAATATTTTTAACGAGCACTGACTCTGTGCTAGGCACTGTGCTAAGCACTTTCATTATCTATGAGTTAGGTACTATTATCCCTGTTTTACACGTGAGGAAACTGAGAGAGGTTAAATAATTTGTTCAAGGATTCACGTGCACACAGCTAAATCCTAACCACTATAAGAAGCATGAAGTATTCGTTTCTAGCATGAGCATTCTGGACATTAAGGAGCCTTGGGGCAAGGAAGAAAGAAGCCAAGAAAAGGGAATAATAACAATAACAACAACAGCAACAATAATAAACAATACAAAGCAGAAATAGAAAAGTTAAGAGTTAATTAGATTCATTTGCTATTCGAATCCGTACTATTTCTATTCTAATGGGTACTGCTAAATCACTCACCGTTCTTAGGCCCTACAGGGGGATGCAACAAAAGGATGACAATTTACATACATGCACATATAGAGCTGAACATATGACTTACAAACAAGAAAACTTAAATAATACAGAATAGTTTCACCAGATATGAAGTACCAGATGTAAATTTCTAGAGTATAGGGAGAAGATAACCATAAAAGTTTTAAGAGGTGACAAGAGGTCTCTCTAGACTTCAGAAATCCAGGCCCTGGAAGGGAACCATAAAAATAAGTAGGATTTGACTAGTTCCAGTAAAAGGCACCATAAACCCCAGGTGTGACCGCACCAGCCAAGGCTGGAAAGTGGGAACACGCAAAGGCGAGTTTTCCCAGCGCGGACGGGGTGAGGCAGCCGTCTGGAGAGCCAGTGCGAGCTGAGGTTCAAATGACTAATTGGGCTCGTATTTGTGGCAGGCCTCGTCCAGAATGCCATGGCGCGTCATCGAAAGACTTTGTACAGGAGTCCGACAGGACTAAGGCACTGTTTGGGGACGTTATATCAAAAGCAGCAGACTGACAGATGACAAATAGCACAGAAGAAAAATAACTCAGGGCTTGTCTTCCTAATTCCTGGACTTCGAGGTGACAAATGCCAGAACCACATTGCACGCGGAGGGGCTGGGGAGGAAGGCGCAGGCGTCAAAGGCGTTTCCGCGCGGTGGCGCGTTCGAACACAGGCGGGACGCGGGAGCCACCGCCAGACCCCGCGCTCCGTCCGCACGCGGCGGCTTTGATGGCGCGGCTCCCGGAAGCACGTGCGGGGAACGCCAGCCCGGGGCAGCAGATGGGCTGACCGATGCTCCTCTGTCCCCGGGAGCAACTAAACCACCCACTGCCCGGCAGGTGACCCCACAAAGCAAACCAACCCGTCTGGTCCACGCTCCCCACCTCCCCCTGCGTGAGTCTGCGAGGGAGACGGAAAAGTTTGGGGAGTAGTCCCGGTCAACCAGAAGGACAGTTTTTCATTCCTCAACCACTACTCTCAGGTGCTCCGGGAGGGAGGATGACACCCGGACAGTCCTCCGGCCACTCCCCTGGCCGGTGATGAAATGCTGGAGACTTTGTACCTCACCCCGCTAAGTCAGTCCTTGGGCCCGCGGCCTCTCCCCAGCTCTATAAAGGTCGCCGCGCCAGGCGGTTCAGCTCACTTGCCTGACAGACCCGGGGCCAGAGGAGAAAGGCCGGCGCGTGGCTGCTCCGGTCTCTCCGCCGCGCTCCAGCCACAGCCGAGCGGACGGCGCGTTGTCTCCGGCCGCTGCGCGCGTTCCCGCCGCGTCCCGCCGCGTCCCGTGTCCCTCCGCCGCCGCCACCGCCGCCGCCGCAGCCCGAGCGCCCGCGCTGCCCCATGCGCGCCGCCGCCGCCAGGATGGAGCCGCGCGGTGCGGGCCGCGCCCCCGCGCTGCTGCTCTGCCTGGGTAAGCCCCCGCCCCGCCGCCCCCAAAGAGGACACAAATGTGGCCCCCGCGCATTTGTCATTTGACAAGTCCAGAGCTGTCCTCGCGGTTCAAAGTGTACCGGGTTTAAACGATGTCTCTTATTATGTGAGTCTGTCTTTCCCTACTGTGGGGGTTGGGTGGGGGATCGGTGTGAAAATGCCTCTCATTGATAAATTAATTATGTCCTATAGGTTATGCATGAATTAATATACCTCCTTACTAGGCAAGATAAAAAGTTGTCGAGAAGCGTTTGCTTTTTCTTTCGAAAAGTTGCCAATACTAGAAATTCAAAGTACTGGAACACACTCTTGACGTTTAAAATTTTTGCTTTCTGTTTGGAGGGTGTAGAGACCAGATCCGCGCCTAAGAGATGTTTTAAAAGGAAATGCTTTTCCTCCTTTGTCTTGCACCCAGTTTTCCAAAATCTAGCCTGGTTAAGCTTCCCGCCTCCCCCTACCCACTCCACCCCCCGGGAGCTGTGTGCGCAGGGGCCAGCATGGCTGGAGCTACCCAGGGACAGAATGAAAACGCTGTTGGAGGGTACCTGGAGCAGAAGGGCTGTGGGCAGCTCTGGAGCTCCCCAGCGCCCTTGGCCTGCACACCTGCCACTTCTGCTTTCCCCAGCAACCGGCGCCGCCGGACCAGCCTCCGGCGCAAGCGCTTTGCACTTGCTGCTAATTTCACCCGCCTGTGATCGCGGGAGGGTGCTTTAACGCCAGCCTTCCTATTTGAGATGATTTAGTTCTTGTGGGCAGGGGGAAAAAATCATTTTATAGACTTTCTGGTTAAAAAAATTAAAAAAAAAAAAACCACTTCTTCCTAGTTTCTTAAACTTCAAGAAGAGTTTGAAGTTGTATATGATTATTTTTATAAGGAAATAAAGGTTACCACCAGTCTCACCTTCTTCCCGGAGTTGCGATGAAACAAATTTCCCCAACACACTAACTCTACCTGTGCAGGATGTGACAGTTAAATTCTTATTTCAACACGCTTTATCTCAGGGGTTGGGAGAGCTAATGAAACACATATTATGCATAAGTTGAAACTTACAAATCCAAGCCCTGGAACATAAGAGAAAATTGGATCTGTGATTTCTCTACCAAAACTGAGCTAAGAATCACTTGCTAGAAGATTCTCAGTAAATAAGGTGGCTTTGCTGTCTTTGTTTTGAGGTCTTTGTGCGAAGAATAAGATTAGAAAGATGGCAGTTCTTCCTGGAGTTAGAAATTAACCTAGAGGTCAGAATGGCTCAGTACTTCTTTTCCCCCACCTGTAAGGTTGCATGGGAACAATGCAAGCGTCTGTTCTGGGCATCTCATTGAATATTCTAATTTGAGACAGCAAGGCCTATGAATAACCTGGTTACTACCCACTAGTGTGTGTGTTGTGTGTGTTTTTGTTGTCATGAAAGTGCTTACCTCCTTTATTGCATTACTTAATTATAGTTCACCTATTTCATCAGCTGCCAAGCCCATTTCCAAATGAGTTAGGTCAGTTTCTGTTTTCCCAGTTTGTTTGGATATTTCTCTGCCACTAGGAAAGTTCCTGTTTGAAGTTCTACATCGTATCTCTGTACTCTCTTCAGGTATACAGGTCCTGTATATGTTATTTCTGAAATTGTGTTTTTTCCCCCAAGCAAAAGATTACCTAAAATGCTTTTCCCAAACTCTGTCCTTCAAAAGAAAGAGACATTTATTTTAAATTTCAGCATATATTTTATTATTGCTTTTTGTGGAATTTATTTATGACTGGGGAAAAAGGTTCCACCCTCCACACTTAACACATGCAGTACTCTTAAATTTATAAGTGTTTGATATTGATGTTCTTGTTTTGTAGATTGGTAAACTGTAAAATGACCCAAGTACACACAGAAGAAGAGTGCTAACTGAGAGAATTCATACCTGGGTTCACTACTACATTTAGCCTACTGAACATTAAGTAAAAGAGTTGAGATGCCCCAAACTGGATAACATTTTTCTAAATAATCTATAATTTTAGATCAAAATTATCCTTTTTAATCTTGTGATTGTTCCAGAGAGAGGAGAAGAAATTTTTGTCTTGAGTTCTGCAGTTATGTTTAGGAGCTCTCTATCTAACATCAAATATTTTTATTCATGCCCAAATGGGATTCGAGCATGTTCCTGAATGACATCTCCAAGATAATTTAGCCCTACTTCATTGCACAGGGAGAAGTAAGCAGAATAAATATTCTTTCTTGGAAATGTGAGAAGCATGGATCCCAATGAGACAATTGGCTTGCCTTTCATGGTCTCTGTTGACCCTGAGAGTTTCTGAGCTACCTGAGTCTTGGCACAATGTGAGATGACACATCTTGGCAGAAAACATAACAGGTCTCTTCTGCCTGGATTTTGACCCAGGTACCAGCTGTCTTCTGCATCATCTTGCCACATGAGCAGCTTGGGTAAATGGGGTGTCTGGTTCAGCACTGGGACCTGAATCCAGGAGGTTGGAGGGGAACTAACAGTCACCAAATGCCAGTGTACCAACTATGTCGTGTGTTGGGTGCTTTACACACATCATCAAATAACTATGAGGTGGATGTGATTAGCTTAGTTTTGACAAACAAAGAAACTAAGGCTCAGTGAAGGCAAATACCACACAAGGACGTAGAGATAGTAAATGGCAAGGCCGCTCTGTAACAATGAGTAAGGAGCTAGTGGCTCTTGGGGTTAGCAGGAACATAATAAAAATAATAGCTTCTAATAGAGAAGTTGCAGAGTAGTCTGGGGCTGTCCCAGGGCTTAGAACCTGTTTTAGGGGTGGCGTATGTATAGAACTGGGCTTTCTGTCTCTTTATGCAAAATCAGGCACATAAAACATTTGACTGTTCTCTTAGGCTATGCTAAAATATGTTAAATTTTTACTTAGCATTTATAATTTTCAATCGACACAGTTCCTACATTATGACTTTTATTATAAATTATACATGGAAGTCATTTGACTGGGGTCTTGATTTCTATATTTGCTGAGATGTATATTAATTTAACTGAAACAATCAAGGAAAAGGATAATCACATCTTTTTATATTACTGTGGCTTGAATATTGCATCCATAAGGGACCAAGTTGGAATCCACAGCCCATTCCTATTAACAGTGAGAAAATAAACATGTTTCCTTTGTTAAAAGAAAAAGTACAATACTCACATAAATCAATTTGGAAAAATTGAATTTGAATGTTTTCTATTCCTGCACAATAGTCTTCCATTTACTGGTTAATGGTCACCCAAGAAATGCAAATGTCAAGTAAGAAATCCTCTTCAAAGAGACTGTAAATTAAGGTGTGGTTTCCTCTTCTGTCAGTCTGCACTTTGAATATAGGCCTATGCAAAGTGTCTAATTAATATGGCTGCAACTGCTTCTGGGAACATTCCACTGGTAGGCAATAGGAAGGCGCCCCAACACTGTAATAGGGGGATCCTCAGGAAGGAGTAGCCTGGCAACCGTCGCCTTGGTATGACAAGTCTGGAACCTTTGAAAGAATGAAGTAATGGGACAGACTCAGTGTCCTCTGGCCATGCAGTTTACGCAATTCTGGGTGTCTAGTTATAGGGCAGATAAAGGTTCAGTGGCATTCTAGGTTAAAGTAATGATTTAATTTACAAGGATACTATTTATATTAATATTACTCAGGGTGATTTGATAATTGTCCAGAAAAAATGTTAACCCCTAATGTCTTACGTCAAAAATTCTCAATTTCAAATTTGAGGCATGAAAGTGATAGATACACCCACACATATTTATATATGTCCAACTTTATAGTTTTGAATTAAGAGGCATAGTGTATGGACCACAGATTTCATGCCCCAGTTTTTTACTTAAACTTTCAGAAAGATGTATTACTCTCTAAGCCTCAATTTTCTCATGTGTAAAATAGAGATCATAACATCTATCATGTCAGGTTATTGTATATGGATTTCACGGACATCGTGATAAGAGAAAATAATAAAAAGCACTTTTGAAGTTAGAGCTGTTATCATCATCATCATCATCATCATCATCATCAAAATGGTTTCTTACAAAAAGATTTGATTCTTACAATAATGCCTTTTTAGACAGAAAAGGTATTATTGTTCCTATTTTACAAATGAGGAACAGGCTTAGAGAGGAGTGAAACAGCATGCAAGGCTCCATGCTTCAACATGCCTGCGATGCTCACAAATCACTCTTTACTTTTGCTAAAAGTTTTCTCATTCTTTAAGACTGAAAAAAAAAGAGTACTTCCTTAAGCAAGTCTTCTCTGACAGGCCCTGCCCCTGCCCCCCCATCTCTCCCATCCCTCGAGTGGCCCTTGTGACACCACACTCTAAGTGTGTATGTAACCCTGTCCCTCTTCACTGAGGCTGCGCCCATCTCTTAGCATTTGTGTTGTGTTAGGCTTATATTAAGCACTCAATAAACGTTTGTCGGATAGAAGATTGGATTGATACTTTATTCAAAGTTCTCACCACTATGTTTTTACTCAACCAGCTGTTCTTTAAAAATGTGCTTGAGAAGCAAAATATTTTGAGGTTAAGCAATAGTTTTTGAAAATTCAGTTCTCTTGTTTTTGATAAAGTCTAATAATTTTTTTCCCTCTTTTTCACATTTCTGTCTCTTGCTACTTTTTGTTTTCACTGATGGTATGTCTACCGAAATCCAGGTATAGCTGCGGTGTGTGTGTGTGTGTTTCAGAGAGAGAGAGAGTTATTACTAATAGTGATATGATTGAATAACAGTTATCCAGTGGGAGAAAGAGGAATATTGTTTTAGAAATGAAAGGAAATTTAGAGAAATGTAATCCAAACTCTGTCTCACCCTCTGCCCCACTCTCTCCCTGGTCTCTGTTTTCAGAGATAAGGAAACTCAGTTGCAGGGGGATAGAACAAGTAGCAACCCTGGTCTCTACCCACTAGATGTCAGTAGCACCCCCAGTTGTGACAACCCAAACAGTCTCCAGACATTGCCAAATATCCCTGGTT